TGTTCACATCAGTTTGTGTATGTATCTGTGTGCCTGCTTCTAACTGTATGTGTGGACGCGTACATGTGTTTGTAAGGGCGTGCGTGTTTCAGAAGGTCTGCTATTAAGTAGACGTGCATGTGTTACAGCTTAATGTGTGCGTGACTATATTTGACTACGTAAATGCGTGTGATTACGTCTGTGAAGGAACTTGTATGTGTGTTTATCGAAGGCAATTTATTTTCGCGTTGAAGAGCGAAAGATAAAATGGAATTCTAATGGGTAACATCCATTAGATTCTTATTTCTTTCTTCAGCCGTTGTACAGTCGAAAGATTATCAATTAATTCAGGAGAAGAATCCGAAAAAGGACTACTTTTTGAAAAAAAAAAGACTGTTATTTTGCTTTCTTCTTTTCTGCCATTGAAATATTTAGTTTTAAATCATTTTCTTTTTCTTTAAGAAATTTTATCCGTTGAATCATTGATTCGATATTTTTTTCCTCGTGCAAATATCGTCCTTCTTTAATTGTAATTCATTTAATTTCTTTCATATTCTTCTTCCTCTTTTATGTGTCATATTTTTAACAAGACCTGAACGATCACGACTCTCCACATCACCCTATTTTTGCACGGAATTTTTACCTCTTTATCAAACATTGACTCGAACACACTGTTTTCTTTGCTTCTCACGCCTTCAATATATTCTGTGGATTCTTCAAGTCGTGATTCCATTTTAATGTTTGAGAAGAAAATCTGTAAAAATCTGTATCATTTAAGATTTGATAAATAAAACAAAAAAAAAGAAAAGAAAAAAGTAAATAGGCTGTATAGATTGAAATAATATTATACACATTAGCAGAACAGATTCTATAAATCAGCTCCAGAAAAAAATAATCATTTTTACTAGAAATTATTAATATGACACGGTATTTTTGTTTTTTCTTTTACAGTAAAGTTCGCCCTTTACAAGGACCGAGAGCCACTCGAGATAAAGGATTACGTTAAGGGGTAGTTTATATGAATAGTGTGGGAAGATAACGGTTAACTTTAACAGGTTATGATTGTAGTGATCGGGGAAACATCCACTTGGGAGTCTGTTCCACAGAACAGTGGTTCACGGAAAGAAGCTGTTTAAGTGGAACTTATTTCTCACAGATGGAATACAAGGAGAATATGTGTGGTTTGCTATTATGTAAGAGGCATGGAGGGGTTCTTCCGTGAATGTTAGGCTTAGTGGAACCAAGTATTGTAGTTCGTCCGAGCACTTTCCATGGTAGTAGCGACAGAGCAGTGAGAGGCCCAATACCCCCCACCCCTGTGACAGAGAGGTTGGAGGGTGGGAAATAAGACTCCACAAATACCCGGAGATACTGTTGAATCTTATCAATATTGGAAAGTAAGGACTGGGTAGTTCCCGCCCAAACATGACACCAGTACTCTATTCTCGGCCGGATCTCTCTTTTATAAAGGTAGAAGAGAGAACAAGGAGTCAGGTACTTGCTGGGTCGGTACAGGAAGCCGATATCCATACTGACTGAATACCAAGTTAAAATTTAATTTATGTCCGTTGCAGACATCATTTAAAACGCCTCTCAAATGATTAATATTTACCTGTTGGTGCTCAAGTTCATTCCAGACCGCAAATGAAAGTCATACATTTGTGCGATCGTTAAAATGCTGGATGGATGGATAGTCGGTTTCTTTTATCGATCCAGAAAATTCATCATTCCTGCTGCCATACTCTATCTTTACAGGCATCAAATCAAACCAAGAATGGAGGATTGTTGTCATAGTTTGGTGTTACCCAGACCTAAAGGCTCATTCTCAACAGAGTTTTACCCCCCCCCCAATTACGCAGCATTCTGGGTGAGTAAGTATTCTCCACCCTTATCCCACAGAAGAAGCGTTGGTAGCCTCTCGCTAATCTACCTCTATTGCTATGACAAATATTCAAACGAGTTATATTCCTTTTTCCCACCAGTTCAGACCTTCACAGCTAACATCCGTCATGTTCATGGTGGTAAATGATCCCCATTCCCTTCTTGCTTCTTTGATAATAAGCAAGTTCCACTCACACAGTTTCTTTCCAAGAACTGTTAGTTTGTGGAAAAGGACCCCAAAACGTTGCTTCACTAACTACTACAATCTTAACGTCATCATGTCCCGTATCAAGCGATGTCTTTCTACGTATCCTCAATAATCACTATTTTTCATTACCTTGCACCTTTTTTACGTGAATATCACTAAGTAACCCTCTAGCTTGTAGGACCCTTGGGTCTTTTATTGAATGAGTTAAAGAAAAACATGTATGATAATTAAATTAATAGAAACTGTAAAGTACTCTGCAAGTAACACACTTTAAAATTGAGCTGAGCATTTTACTATTAAGTATTCGCGAGCAATTTCTGTGTATTATGACATTCGCATGTGAGGTAAAAAAAAAAAAACATCATATCAAGTAGTCAGTTCGAACAAGAGGGAGAGAAAGAAAGAGTCCGCATGATAGACTGAGTAGCAGCCGGATGTACAATTCGAGTTGAAGTCAGTAAGAAAAATTCCTTTGTGTTGCCTATTTCCTGCTGTAAGAAAAAATAAGAAGAAAATGCACGATAAAGAGGGAAAACAATTTCTGAAATATAAACAGCTTTGGATTTACACATTATAATGCCCACTTTTTTCCTTTCCGTCTTCTTTGTGTGAAAGTTGAATAATTTTACAAGGTTTCACCGTCATTCCCTAAAGCTACAACACCATAATGTGTCCCTGAAATTTATCTTTCTAATTGTTGACATTAGTTTCCATGTAGTTACCTTTTGCCTTTAAACTCCCTGATTTCTCACATATGCTAGTGCTATTCTAAGTATTACTCTATAGAATCTGAGGCTTCAAATCTCTTCATCTGTAAGAGAACTAATGTAGTATTTACTTGAATAAATTATAGATAATTCGTAAAAATTCAGTACACTTTTCTTTGACCTTAAGTACATTTCCTTATCTCTCAATTCTTTGCTTAATTTCTAAAAAGCAACCTTCACATTTCCCAAGTCTCTTTCTGATTCTATGTATCAGGTTCTTTGTAGTCTCATTTTTTCCAAGACTTCCTCGTTGCTCACGTGTTCTGTCCATGGTATTCCCTGTATTCTTCGGTAGAATTACATCTCTGCCGCTTTAAATCTTCTTTTCTTCGTTTATGAGATTGTCCAGCATTCATTGTTATGTAGGAGATTAAATATGTTATTTGCAGTTTTATCTTACTTTTCATGAATATTTCACTAGATATTTATATCTTTCTTTCTTTTTTCTTTTTTCTTTCTGATTAATTTTGTAATTGGTATTTCTTTCAATGTTAAATTTACAAACGTTTTCTATTTGTATTTTACTTCCATATATATATATATATATATATATATATATATATATATATATATATATATATATATGTTACATATTATAACAAGTGTTTTGTTACATGTTATGACAAGTGCATCTCAGGAAGGGTTGTAGAACACAGAATTAAAGACGCATGTGGGGTATTTGGACAGCTCGTGAAATGCGTCTTCAGCAATAAGGATCTGAATTTAACAATAAAAATTATGGTCTATAATGCTGTTGTCATTTCAAATGTACTACATGATTGCGAAACTTGGATTTCTGCGATATCCAAGAATTAGAAAACTTTCAACAGAAAAAATATTCGTTCAATCTTGAACATCACATGGACTTACTATGTCACAAATATAATTGTCCTAGAAAGAGCTAACAGTGAAAGCATGAAATATATGATCATTGAACGTACTATAGAAGTATTTAGGAATTAACTAAAAAGAATAAATAAAATAAAAAATAAAAAAAGATTAAAAAAAAACAACAGATAAATAAAACAGATAAGAATTAAACATCGAGCTCGCTTCTCACTAACGCAACAAGCTTACGGCCACATCACGTTGAAATACCGGTTTCCGTACGATCAGCAACGTTGAACCTGGTCAGTATCGAGATGGGGGGCTGTTTGGGAATACCAGGTCCTGTAAACTTGGATATACGTGTGATATAATTCATAATGGTCCGGAATATAATCGGTGATATGAGTTCCAATACCTGCTGGACATGTTTTAGTCACACGTTAATACACTTGTGAAAGGGTATTACCAAACCAACAGACCATTGTCATTATGGTGGTTAAACTCATTGGTCTGTGAATTTGTTGACGTAGTGGTTCAATTCCTGGATCGGGCAGTGTGTACGTGTACTTAGTGGAAACGGGCGAACTATAGCTGAACAGTACTAAATAAAATAAAAACTAGATGATACACTAGATATAAGTAGTGGAAGAAAAACAGTCTACCTTAGAAGATTAAATAACGGATCCACTTTAGAATTCCATCTACATAGGTTACCGAAATTGATAAACACCTGAGGAAAGCTGGTGGGTAGAGCAAAGATAACAACAAATATGAGGACAATAGTCCGAATATATATAGTGTAAATAATAAACCATTATCTCAAACAAACAAAAAAATTCTTATAATCTAAAAATTTTTCCGAAAAAGGGTTGATACGCTGTAGAAGACGAATCAATCAAGCAAGCAACTGAAGTAACAGCGACATCAAGTGAGTAAAGGGCATACTATTCTTTTATAACTTTCTTAAAATTAAAAAAAAAAAAAAAAAAAGAATGAGATAAAATGAACAAACAAAAATACCGCCTGGTAACAACAATTAAAATTAATCTAACATTGTTTCAGGCGGAGCTTGACATTTTGATAAGCGCGGTTCCACCATTTTTTTTTTTTTTTTTGTTGCACGAAGAAAAATAACCGAATCCCTTAAGAACTTCAGCGGCCATTTATAAACGAAAAGTAAAGCGAAGAAATAGAAAGCGCGCGAAGAATCGAAATAGCTAGGAAGAATGGTTGAAAAGGAAACTGTTATCATTGCCCATGCGTCAAAAGTGAAGGATGCAGACTACAACTAACGATTGAAGCAACTTATTCCTTTGTCGCCATTTTTTATACTCCAGTTCTTCTGATTTGGCCGCTAATCCTTTTATCATCGCTTTCATTTTTATCTACCGATTTTCTTTTTCATCTCTGTTCTTTCTTAATCTCGTTTTCTTCCTTTGTCTTGTGTCCTTTACAAAAACTTTGTTCGTTTCCTTTCTCTGTTTTTCCTTTGGGATATTTTTGAATAAAAGAAAAGTATTTCCCTCAGTAGTATTTTTTATCTTTTACTTTGATTTTTTTTTAAATCAAATCTTCTTGCAATTTCCCTCACATTTTAGAACTTTGTCCTATTTTCTCCATTCTTAATTTGTACTCCTTTCGTCATTCTCTTCTAGATTTTTCAATCCCCCCTTTGCCCATTTTTAATATTCCTTTCCCCCTTTTTTTTTTATGAATCCTGCTCTATATCTCTCTTTCTTTCATTTTTTTTCTTTGCTCTTTTCCGTCTTTCTTTCTTTTCAACTTTTCATTCGTTATATATTTCTTTTCACTTTATTCTTTCTTTCAATCATTGTTTGCTCCATTTTCCCTTTTCTCTTTCAGTAAGTTTTCATTCTCAATTTCTTCCTCTCGCACAATTTTTTTTTTTTTTTTGTAAGTCTTTTTCTTTCTCGGTGTCCGCCTCTTTTTCTTTCTGCATTTTTTAAAGTTCTTATTTCTTTCTTTCAAAATACAGTGTAACCCGGATATAAGAGACTCTGAGATAAGATAAACCCGGATATAAGAGAAACCTGGATATAAGAGAGATTTTCTCTGGTCCCAAATTAGAGCCTGTGTTAATTTATACAAAATAGACCAAACCCGGATATAAGAGAAACCCGGATATAAGAGACTTCTTCTCCGGTCCCGACAACTCTCTTACATCCGGGTTACACTGTATATTCTTTCTTTAATTCATTATTTCCGCCATTCTTCGTATTTTATGTTTTATTCAAACTTCATTTCTGTTTTTCCGCCATTTTCTTTCTTTCTATATTTAAAAATATTTTTGACATTTCCAGCGGCGTTCGTGTATGAAATGAAATATTAACAGGTGTGGAAAGAGGTGAACCTGAATGAAGTCAGGACTAAAGAAAGAAAAGAAAAGTAAAAAAATAAAGAAAAATTTGAAAGAGTGAATAGAAAGGGAGAAATAATGATATGGACATAAAGAAAAATGAAAATGTGAAGAATAAGAAAAATATATCTACTCAATCGATTTCACTCAATGCAAGGAAATAAAGCCACTAAGACACAAGCAGTTGTTGGGTGTAAAAGAATTAGGAACATAATAATGAGCGAGAAGAGGAAAAATGTAATCAGGAGGAGAGTAGATAGCGATTGACATTGTATTTAAATTTTTACGGATTAAAGTTGGCTGGAAAGCATGGGACCCGTAGGGAGTTCCACGATCAAGAAGTGCGAGAAAAGTAACTGTTAGCATAGAACCTACCACGACATGTAGCTAACTCAACTGTAAATTGATGAGATCTCGCTGCCAGTCTAGTACTGCGCTAAATTCTAAAAGTATATCTCTTATAGTGAAGCGGTCATCAGAACAATTACCATGAAAGTATTTATAGAAAAAAAAATGAGACAGAGAGACAACCTTAGGGCAAGTAAATATAAATATAAAATAAATAAAAGTAAATATAAATAGAAAATAAATAAAAGTAAATATAAACGAGTGAAACCAGTAGAAAAATCGGAATGAAGGAAAGACAAATAGCCAAATTTTAATAGTAAACGTTCACTCAGTATAGGCTAGAGAGCCCCTCAAGTAAGAGGGTTACTGTCAAAATGGTTATAATTAATGAGTTACGATATGACTGATGGAGGAGTTGACAGGAAGATGACGAGTATAGTCTCAACCTTGAATCTTCAATCTAATTTTATCATTTTCTTTCCTATTTGTGTTTCTCCTATTTTTATACGAAACTTTTTTCAGTCTTTCTATTTTTTCATTCCTAATTTCTTCACTTCATTTTTTCTGTCAATTCTGTCTCATTCATCCTTTTTGTTCGTTCTTTATTCCTTACTTCCATCTCACACTACCGTCAATAATTCTGTCCATTCTTGAATTCGAAGAACTAATCTTCTCTTACTTTTTATTTCCTAATTTCCATTCATACTTCCCATACATTCATTCCTACTTTCAGTTTCAGCTATTCGTTATTCTAACCCTCTATTTGTTCTTCATTCATTCCAAAACTTTTCGTTCTAGCTCTTCGTTCTTCCATTCCTTCTGTTGTTCTGACTTCATTCCTAACTCCCTTCTTTCTTTCATTCTTCCCATGCTTCCTTTCTCCTTTCCTTTATTGTTTACACCATGTAATCCCGTTTTCATTCCCTAATGATTTTTACCTTTATTATTCTCTTCTTTCCTTCCGTTAATTTCTGTACGTGTAATCATTCCTTCCACCCTCCTTCCCTCTATCAATTTTTTTTCAGCCTTTTCCTTGGTTCCTGCCTTTTTTCCATTTTCTCTCCTCTTTTTCTCCCCTCCTAATTTCTTTTTCCTTTCTTGTGTGCTTCTTTCTCTCTGCCCACTATTTAGTTTCTTCCAAACTTTCTTCTTTCATTACTTCTCTCTTATCATTCTTGATTTCGTCATCTATCATTAAATATTTCCTTCCTTCCTTTATTCATTCCTTCCCTCTTTACTTTCTTCCTTCCTTCCTTCCTTCCTTCCTTTATTCCATCCTTCCTTTATTCCTTCCTTCCCTCCTTGCTTTCTTCCTTCCTTCCTTCCTTCCCTCCTCCTTCCTCCTTCCTTCCTTCCTTCCTTCCTTCCTCCTTCCTTCCTTCCTTCCTTCCTTCCTTTCTTCCTTCCTTCCTTCCTTCCTTCCTTCCCCTTCCTTCCTTTATTCCTTCCCTTCCCTTCTCCTTCCTTCCTTCCTTCCTTCCTTCCTTGCTTTCTTCCTTCCTTCCCTTCCTCCTCCTTCCTTCCTTACTTCCACCTTCCTTCCTTTATTCCTTCCACCTTCCTTCCTTACTTCCACCTTCCTTCCCTCCTCCTTCCTTCCACCTTCCTCCTCCTTCCTTCTTTCCTTCCTTCCTTCCTTCCTTCCTTCCTTTATTCCTTCCTTCTCCTTGCTTTCTTCCTTCCTTCCCTTCCTCCTCATTCCTTCCTTCCTTACTTCCTTCCTTCCTTCCTTCCTTCCTTCCTTCCTTCCTTCCCCTCCTTCCTTCCTTTATTCCTTCCACCTTCCTTCCCTTCCACCTTCCTTCCCTCCTCCTTCCTTCCTTCCCTCCTTCCTTCCTTCCTTCCTTCCTTCTCCCTTCCCTTCCTTCCTTCCTTCCTTCCTTCCTTCCTTCTTCTTTCCTTCCTTCCTTCCTTCCTTTATTCCTTCCTTCCCTCCTTGCTTTTCTTCCTTCCTTACCTCCCTCATTCCTTCCTTCCTTCCTTCCTTCCTTCCTTCCTTCCTTTATTCCTTCCTTCCTTCCCTCCTTGCTTTCTTCCTTCCTTCCCGCCTCCTTCCTTCCCTCCTCCTTCCTTTATTCCTTCCTTCCCTCCACCTTCCTTCCTTTATTCCTTCCTTCCCTCCTTCCTTCCTTCCTTCCTTCCTTCCTTCCTTCCTTCCTTCCTTCTAATCTTTTCTTTCATTCTTTCTTTAATTATCATTTTCATTCCTCTGCCTTTCTTCTCTTTTCTTCCTTAAATTCTAACTTCCCTTCTTCCCTGAATTCATTCAAACACCGGTTCCTCTAAGATCGCCGAAGTTAAGCAAATGTCGAGCCTAGTCAGTAACTATATTGGCGACAGCTTGGGAATATCAGTTGTTGTAAGCTGGGATGCGCAGATGGTGTAATGCATAATGACTCTGAATTGTTAATCGGTGAGCTGAGTTCCAATTCTTGTTGGGTTCGTTATATACACTAACGCGCCAATACCCTTGGGAAAGGTATGAGATATTCATTAGCCGCCCCACGCGGTCGGATGTGGCACAAGGCCAAGTTTATTGTGGGGTATCCGAGTCCGTAGGCTCTGCCCCAAATTCCCCGTAGACCCCGTAAAAACGGGGCCGGGCAGGTGTCTCCCGAGACAAGACTTTGTCCTTCAACATTGTTTGTTGGATCCTCTCTGCCCGACCAGCAAACTTCCGAAGCTATCCGTAGCAATGATTTTCTAAGCGTAGCTTAGATGTGGCACCATGCCGAAAGTATGGGTGCACCCAGTGAGGATCAAACTCACTATTCAGTCGTAATTGTTCTAGCGAGATAAACTTGTTAACCATTATACACCACTTGGAAAAAAGGTATGAATCCACCTCTCCTTCTCCCTAGCTATGTAATTATTAATTACTAGGATTTATATCACGAAATCATTATTTTCTCAAAAAAAAAAAAAAAAATTAAAAAAATAACATAACTCCTCGCCCCCCAAAAAAAAAAAAAAATATAAAATATTTGATAGCATTAAATAACTTTCAAAAGGGTTGATAAGCCGTAAAAATAAACAAATCAATGTTCCTGAATTCATTGTTCTATGATTCCTTCTGTTTGTTCTTTTCTTCTGTATTTCCTCTCTGCTTTCCTTCATCATCTATTTCTTTCTGGGTTGTACGATCTTCCATACATCCCACATTACTCCCTTTATTCAATTTATCTTCTTTTATTTCTTTTCTCAGTATTCCTGTAATTTCTTATCTTTTCCCATCCTTCCCGATTTTTTGTCTGTCTATCTCTTCAACTTATTCTTGCCGATTTTCATTGCATTTTCTTTATTTCGTTTTTATTTTTCTTCCATAATATCTTATTTTTACATCTTTCTTTCATTCATTACTTCCTTCCATACTTCATTTCATGCGCCATATTTTCTTTCCCACATTCTCTACTCCATCTTTCTTTCTTTCTTTCTTTCTTTCTTTCTTTCTTTCTTTCTTTCTTTCTTTCCTTTCTTTCTGTTTCGCTCTAGCTATATTAATTCCTTTCCTTTCCTTATTTGGTCCTTAATTTTCTTTTCATTCCTCTGATTTCCTCCCCTTCATTTAATCCCTTCAAAACTTCGTAACCCCCCCCCACCACCACCGCTTTACCATTATTTCATCATTTATCTCTGCAGAATCAAAAGAATAAAAAATCCACCCATTATTCTGCCACGCGTTCGAATCTGTTTGGCTTCATTTTACCTCGATTTTTCTGCGAGGTAACCTTTTATTCGTTCTAATTTTTGCCCCACGGAGAGACTAGACGAATGACAGCCGAATGATATCAGTTATTTAAAATGGAAAAAATGTAATCTCGATCCTCAGTTACTAATTACAAAATACAGGGATAATTCTAAACAAAATTATCAGGCGCGTTTTATTTTTGTAGGCAACAAATTCTAGATCTAATTTCTCAGTAATAATCTTTGTGAGGTCATTAGAAACAGAACTATGAACAGGGAAGAACTAAAAAAAAAAAGAAATTTGGTAAAATGGGATTTTTTTTATTCCACCCTTACGCTCCAAAGATTGTAGTATTTAAATAAAATAGTATCATATATATATATATATATATATATATATATATATATATATATATATATATATATATATATATATATATATATCGCCATAGATCAAACGTGTCGGTCTATAGAAAATCAAAGTTTCCAGACGATTCTGGTTTGTGGAAAATCAAGTTCGCATTTTAAAATCGCTACACAAATCAGAAATATTTTGAAGATGTGTCTGATCCTTGCAAAAGTCGTTTTTGAAAATCTTTCTTTCTGAAATCAAGGGACGTTTACCAGTCAATCAATGTACTTTTACATTATATATATATATATATATATATATATATATATATATATAGAGAGAGAGAGAGAGAGAGAGAGAGAGAGAAGATAGAGAAGAAGAGAAAGGAAAAGCAAATCCAAGTTAGAGAGAGTATAGGATGACAACAAAAGAGAAATAAACACGACGTAAGCATACGCATATACACATATGCATACGTATTCGCATACATATACACACGCAAAAAGAGAAAAAAACTACTTAACAACAATAAGAGCATCCCAACTGGGTACACGTGAGGTCTGCTTTACTGTAATTTAAGTTTAATGAAGAACAACACAAAAATATAAACACATTTTTCCTCCTAATTCCTATTTGTTCATTACTCTATCATTCACTGGGATTCTAATCTATATCTGATCCCAAATCATATATATATATATATATATATATATATATATATATATATATATAGATAGATAGATAGATAGATAGATAGAGAGAGAGAGAGAGAGAGAGAGAGAGTGAGAGAGAGTTTTCACAATTTTTTGAAACAAAATTATCGAACACAAATCAATGTCCACAAATGATAGAGTAATGGAAATTTCATTTATTGAAAGGTACAAATTTAAACGATAACCATGCACCCATTGAGACTGAAAGATAACCCAAACATGTCAATACGAGCCCTAGGGTACGTGCTGCAGATGTACGACTTTCAGTTTAAGGCAGTGTTGAATGTAAATTTGTTGATAACGAGTACATATTCTATCTGGGTGATCGCTTGAATCTTCTCAGTGACGGTTGTCTTCAACGCAGCAGTGGTGCGAGTGTTGCCCTGGTAGATATTGTCCTTGAGGACCCCCTCCAAGGAAGAAATGCGTGTATCAAGTCAGGCGAGTGAGGTGCCCATTTCAATTTGCGGCTGAGCTGGCGCTCCCTTAACTTTTCACAGAGCCCTGGCATGGTAACATTTGCAGTGTGAGGATGAGCATGATCCCACTGAAACCAGTGCTCCTCCCCATCAAGGTCCTCACTCTCCTTTAGCTCCGCCCATCTGAGAGGACACTGCTTTATTTCAAAAATTGTGAAACACCATATATATATATATATATATATATAAACCTAGTGAGCCAGACAAACCTACCCAGGTTTCACCTAAGCGGATCGTCAGGGAAAGCTGACGATATTCAGTCACCCCCCACCCACGAGGGTGTCATGTGGCACAAGGCCTTTTTAACGTGGGCATTCCTGAGCCATTAGGCTCGGCCAAAAAATAGCCCATTTGAACCCGTATAAACGGGTTCAGAGCCGGTTTTACCTCCCCGAAAGAGACTCCGCCCGTCGGCGTAGCATCCTTCGGGTTCCTCCCGCCCGTAGGAAGAGAGTTTAACCGAACAGTCGGTTCAGAAGTGAACGACTAACTAACTAAGCGTAGCACAAGGCCGAAAGTGTGGAGCACCCAGTGAGGATCGAACTCACTATTCAGTCGTAACTGTTCTAGCGAGACAAGCTTGCTAACCATTACACCACGCCGAGATCCAACTTTCCCTAACAATCCGCTTAGGTGAAACCTGGGTAGGTTTGTCTGGCTCACTAGGTTTATCTAGGTCTGCTCTACGGTTGAATTGATCTCTTTTGTTAGTTGTTTACTCGTGTCGGGGTTTTTCCTTTGGGCTTCAAACCTGTATCTGTGCGATTTTTTTTCGACAGACTTTCATGTTTCTCGCTCTTTCTTTTTTTTAAACCTTTTTTCCCTCGAGATTGATTTGGCTATCGGCAAATCAAAAATTCGAAGGTTTTTCGAAACCAGTATAGTTACCTATATTTGTATTTATATATATATATATATATATATATATAGGATTGGTGTATACGGAATAAATTCCAGTAACCAAAAATTACTATTCTTAAAAGAGTGCTCAATGCAGAGTAGATCAACAATAATTTATTCGAAAATTATAATAAAAATATGTTATAAAATGACTACAAAAATAGTCACTTTGTCTCAACACTTCTGGTGTGTTATCAAGTGATGGTGTTAAATGTAGAATAAAGAGTTTTAAAAGGTTCAAATCGATCAAACACCCTTCGCTAGGTTGAACGCTGTTATATAAACTGCAATGACCAATCAAAATACAAGTATTTCTGAACTGTCACGTAATTCAAAAAATAATTTATGGCATTCTGCCGTCCATTTTCTGAAGCATGCCTCTGTTTAGTCCTGTCAGTCTTGACTTTATTCTGTCATGGGTGTATTAAATTTTCGAAGTCCACTTTCCTCATTATGTGCCGTAGAAATTTCGACTGTCTTTTCCTGATGTTAATTATAAGTGTTCTTTTTGTTACCATTTTCTCTAAAAATTCATCGTTACTTACATATTCGGTTCATGGTATTCTCAGCATGCTTCTGTAGGAGAAGATTTTTGTTGCTTCAAGTTTATTCCTCATCCGTGAGGAGGTTGTCCAGTGTTTATATAGGAGGACTCATATTACGTGACAGTTCAGAAATACTTTTCTTTTGTTTTTAACGAAATTTCCCGTTTTCATAATATATTGCTTTTCGTTATTGAAATACGCGTCCTGATTTCAGTCTACTAGTTTTAATTTTGTATCCCCAGTTAGTAATACGCATGTTGGGCTGTTTCTTTGGCGCACAACCATGTATTCTTTCTTCTTATACTAGATGTTTAGTCCTTAGATTTCGCTTTCCATCTCTACATCTATACGAGTTTTTGTGGTTTCCTTACTGTGTCTTCCTTCAACACTGTGTAATTTGTATATCTTATGTTCTTAAGATCGTGGCCACCAAAAATAAATCCTGAGAAGACTTCGAATTCTCTAAGAATCGCCTCACTATATAGGTTGAATAAGTCCGGTGAGAAAATGTATCCTTGTCTTACACCCCATTCTATATTTGCATATTTACTGAATTCCTTTTCTATCCGTATGCAGGCGGTTTCCTGTCAGTATAGGTTCTGGATTATTCGAATAACCTTGTCAAATATGTTAAAGTTACCTACCAGTTCCAACAGTTCTTTGTATAGTATTTTATCGAATGCACTTGAATAATCTATAAAACACAGGTATACATTGTTCTGCATTTATATTGGGCTTTATATCATTCTGAAGATAAATTCACATTCCTTGTCATCGTATCTTTAATGAACCAGCAGTGTTATTATACAATTTCTGATCTAATTCTGCAGCGCGCTCTATTCCTCAAGATTCAGATGACAGTTTTTGTTATATGGATCATTAGGCAGATTGCCCGAGTGTTTTCACATTCGTTAGGCTGTGATATGAAAATTGATCTAATTAGGTCTTTCGGTATATAATCACTGATGTATATTAGATATATTATGTCTGTAACCATGTCAAAATCATCTAAGGCTTCCAGTATCTCTATTACAATCCCATCATATCCCCCTGTTTTGCTCAGGTTGAATAGGGATGATTTCGCTTCAGGTTTTAATATTCCTGGGCCTTCGATAATTCTGTGTATTGCGTGTTGGAAGAGTTCTTCGATGTGTTTATTCCATCACTGAAGTATTTTTTTCTCATTGTTTCATCTTGGATTTTGTTCTGCTAATTCACATATTTTTTTTATACATATCGGATTTATCTCTGATACTCATTTTTTCTGCTTCTGCACACTTTTCGTTAAGTCATTCCTTTTTTTATCCCGCAAGCATTTATTCCAATATTCTTTGTGAACTGTTCCATATTCTGTGCCATATCTTAGCATTGGCTCCTTACTCCCTTTCATCATGACGAGATTTTCATCTGTCATATTTTTTTTTGTTTAGTTTATTTGGGATAAACTCGATCGTTGGTGTTACTATAGATTCCTTTAATATGCCTTACTTCGAGTTTCCATTCTCATTTTATCCATTGTATCTTCTAATACTCTTCACATATTTCTCCTTCACCTTCAGGTCATCATAAAATCTGGCGTATTACAGTCTGGGTGCTGCTCTGGTCCTTCAGTTTCCTTAATGTCAAGAAGTATGGTGGTCGCTCCCGCAGTCAGCACTTGGATATGTTTTGTAGTATATAATTGCATTCTTGAATCTCTTAAAATATTCCTTAAAATACAAGAACGTTTCAGATTTAGCAGGAATATTTATATATATATATATATATATATATATATATATATATATGTGTGTGTGTGTGTGTGTATGTGTGTGTGTGTGATTGTTTGTGTATGTGTGTGGGTCTGTGTGTGTGTGTGTATTGACTGGATGCGCAGTTTTGATATGGATGGTGGCTCTGGGTGAGAAATCGGAGCGCTAAGTTCGAATTCCAGTCAAATACACTGCATTCATGTACGTTCAAATCCTTATTTGAAAAATTATATATCCATCTTTTCTCTTGTCCCCCAGCCACAGAGAAATATGACAAGCCGAGTTTGCAACCAATCTGGGAGAAGGACAACTCTGAATTCCAAACCCGAGGAATATCGGTTGTGCACCTGTTCTGTGTATTCGGTCTTCAAACATTATGGTTGATTCTGCAGAAGCCTTTACCAATATATCCAAATTATATGTGCGAGCTGTCTGGCTTCTCTTTTCTAAGAACAGATTTCTTGGGCTCTCATACGCCGAAAGCGACAGGGGTGTTCAATATACACCAATTAGAAGATGAAAACAATGGTTAAAAATATAAATAGCTGGACTCTATTATTATTGTTATAAATACCAAAGATATACAATTTACCATAAAACATCAATCCTAATAATTATCAAGGACTCTGGAGCTCAGAAATAGCCACAGTGTTAAAACAATATTGTATATGAATTCTCTGGCATTTTGTAACAATTATCAGACGAACAACATTCTGTTTTGTAGACAAACTTGTCTCTTATCGAAACTTCAATTGTATTAATTTCGACACATTTGAACATTTCCATAGCTTTTTTTTATTTATACCCATTTTACTTTGCATTGTTGTCACAAAAATAAATAGTCTGTGAATAAAAATGTCTAATATATTTTATGTGTGACATTCCTCCATGTTCATTATGAGAAGTAATAAACAAAATATGCTAATATTAGCATTTATTTATACAAGCAGTTTGAAATGACAGTAATTAGTAAAATCTGCGACAATCTTTCTGAAGAGCCGACCTGTATCAAACGGTAAAAATATTTTAGACAACAACTGTTTCTTTCTTTCTTTCTTTCTTCCTTTCTTTCTTCTTTCTTCCTTTATATATATATATATATATATATATATATATATATATATATATATATATATATATATATATGATATTTTTCCATTTCATTTGCGATTCATTTGTAGGTCTTAAAGATTAAGAGCTGCTTTTAGAAACCCTCGTGAAATAAAACTTATTATCTATGGGATTTTAAGCGTTTGATAATCTTTTAATTAACAATATATATAAATATATATATATATATATATATATATATATATATATATATATATATATATATTATGTGTGTGTGTGTGTGTGTGTGTGTGTGTGTGTGTGTGTGTGTATATATATATATATATATATATATATCCATTTTATCAGATATTTTGGTTTAATTGTGTTGCCCCATGCAAGGCGATAATGCCACTCAAACGCAAGGGGTTGTTGACTGTGAAAGAAAATAAAGCGTTTGTGAGGCGTAAAGATAATAAAAGACCGGAACTCAGGAAGAGAAAAAAAATAGAGATTAACGCTTCATTAAAATTTTTGAAGATCATAAGTGGCAAGGAAGCAAGAACCCAATGATAGTTTTACGGGTGAGAGTTACAAGAAGGAAAAATTATTAGAATATTACTTACAGTTCTAGGTATTTCAACACTAGAACGGTGAGACGCATTTGCCAATCTTGTAATACGCTTAAATTCATGCATTCAAGGTAGCAAACAAGAAAGATCATGTGAACAATTGCCATTAGAATATTTATAGAAAAACACAGAATGAAGTCACGTTAGGTGGTGTGAAAGTGAGAGCAGTCGAGATGCGACATCAGAATTGATAATATTAGACACTTGTTTGGATTCTATGGAGAGTACTTAAATATATAGCAGGGACATCGAGCCAAATATTGAAACCATATTCAATGCACGGACGAATGATTGATTTATAAATATGCAAGAAGGATTATGGCGAGAAAAATTGTCTCGAACGGCACAGTGAACCAACTTACTTGGAAGCAGACATAACCGTTGATTCAATATAATCATTCTACTTCATATCAGGAGAAATCTTTAACCCAAGAAGGCGCCAAAAGTTGCTTTCCAGAGTAGAAGCATTAAGCATGCTGATGGAAGGCAAAAATTGTTCTCTAAAATGTTAGCAGTATATTGCTCTTTTTTGTTTTTGATATTGAACATTCTTCTCCCTTTAACAAGAATTTCCCACTTATTTACCATTAAGCTGTTATTTCATATTCGTCTCTCTTCTTTTGCAGTCAAAATTTCATTCCTCCAATCTTTAACAGCCGACTTTCTATATTCTCTTTTAGTTTTATCCAATCCGACATGACTCTCCCAGAATTTTTCTCTTATAATTTCTATTCTGTTATTTTTGTTGTTGCTGAAAAGGCGGAGAACATACTTTGATCTCAATATTCCCAGGTCATGAGAGTCGATTGATATTTACTTTCACAAGATAAATAGTTAACAGATACAAATCCAAAAAATGAAAAATAATAAGAGGTAAAAAGAAAAGATATTTTTAAAGGCTATAAGAAAGAAAGAAGATTGAAAGAATTGAGAACTAAAATAAGAAAGAGAAAAACGAAGTGCACTGAATGTCGGCATGAGAGAAAATTTGGAAAGTTGAGCAACAGGGAAAAAGAATAAAAAGGAAATGTTAAAGATAAAGACAAAATGTCAAGAAAGAAAAAGAAATTAGAAGCTAATAAGCAAAGATAAAAGAGGAAAAAAAACAGGATGGGATACAAAAGAAAGAAAGAAAGAAAGAAAGAAAGAAAGAAAGAAAGAAAGGAAGGAAGAAAGAAAGAAAGAAAGGAAGAAAGAGAGAAAGAAATAAATAAAAAAAGAGAATACGACAGAAAGAAAGAAAAGAAAAAAGAAAGAAAGAAAGAAAGAAAGGAAGGAAGAGAAGAGAGAAAGGAATAAATAAAAAGAGAATACGACAGAAAGAAAGAAAGAAAGAAAGAAAGAAAGAAAGGAAGAAAGAGAGAAAGAAATAAATAAAAAAGAGAATACGACAGAAAGAAAGAAAGAAAGAAAGAAAGAAAGAAAGAAAGAAAGGAAGGAAGAGAAGAGAGAAAGAAATAAATAAAAAAGAGAATACGACAGAAAGAAAGAAAGAAAGAAAGAAAGAAAGAAAGAAAGAAAGAAAGAAAGATAAGTGATAAACAGGAAGGAATACGAAGACAAAAAAGGAAATGAGGAAAGAAAGAAAAAACAAGAGAATACGACAGAAAGAAAGAAAGAAAGAAAGAAAAAAAGAGAAAGAAAGAGATAAAGAAAGAAAGAAGTAAAAAAGAGAATACGACAGAAAGAAAAAGAAAGAAAGAAAGAAAGAAAGAAAGAAAGAAGTAAAAAAGAGAATACGACAGAAAGAAAGAAAGAAAGAAAGAAAGAAAGAAATAAAATAACTATATAAACAAAGATTAAAAGTGAAAGACAGGAAGGAATACGAAGAAAAAAGGAAATGAGGAAAGAAAGAAACAAACAAGAGAATAAGACAGAAAGAAAGAAAGAAAGAAAGAAAGAAAGAAAGAAAGAAAGAAAGATAAACAAAGATAAGTGAAAAACAGGAAGGAATACGAAGAAAAAAAAGGAAATGAGGAAAGAAAGAAAAAAACAAGAGAATACGACAGAAAGAAAGAAAGAAAGAAAGAAAGAAAAAAAAGAGAAAGAAAGAAAGAGATAAAGAAAGAAAGAAGTAAAAAAGAGAATACGACAGAAAGAAAGAAAGAAAGAAAGAAAGAAAGAAAGAAAGAAAGAAAGAAAGAAAGAAGTAAAAAGAGCAAACGACAGAAAGAAAGAAAGAAAGAAAGAAAGAAAGAAAGAAATAAAATGACTATATAAACAAAGATTAAAAGTGAAAGACAGGAAAGAATACGAAGAAAAAAGGAAATGAGGAAAGAAAGAAACAAACAAGAGAATACGACAGAAAGAAAGAAAGAAAGAAAGAAAGAAAGAAAGAAAGAAAGAAAGAAAGAAAAAGGAAATGACTATAAACAAAGATAAACCATTGACATTGAAGGAAAGTGATTAAAAAAAAATGAAAAATAAAACAGAATAACCTAAGAATAATAACAAAGGAAGAAGTATGAAATTATGTTGCAAGGAAAATTAAATGAAATAAAGAGAAAAGCTATAATAAAAATAAAGAAAGAGATAAAGAAAGTTAGAAAAGGACGACTAAATAAAAACGAGAAATGAAAGATATCGAGATTAAAGAGTTGAAAAAAAAACAAAAAAACAAAACAAACGTAATATTGAAAATGAAATCGAGAAGGGAAAAGAAAAAAAAAACTATGCAAATGAATAAAAAAAAAAAAAGTCCAAAATAAATGTATGAAAATAAAAAAAATAAGGAAGAAGATAAAAAGGAAGAAAACGAAAAAAAAAAAGACGGTAAAGACAGAGTAAAAAAAAAGAGTAACAATAAATAAAGAAAGAGTAAAAAACGTTCATCAGACAAAAGAAGCAAGAAAGTAAAAGTAATCAAAGAAAAGAAAGAAAAGGACATAAATAGAAAGTAAAAATATTAAAAATGATATAACAAAATGAAAAGAAAGAAAAAAAAAAGAATGGATTCAAGATTAGAAGAAAAAAAGCAGAAATAAAAGCGAAATCAAAAAAGCTTTTGATAAAGGCACATCATCCAGAGAAATAGAAAAAAAAAAATCAATAAGTTTTATTTCTGATATTCTTGCTTGCGTAATTACGGTCAAAGCCGCAGAAATATGTGAGATAGGAGGGTGTGACCCACTATCTGCGTGCCCCATGCAGATAGTGGGTCACACCCTCCCTATCAAACTATTCTTGAAAAATATGACCCAGCATTGATGATGTGAAATGAAATATATATATATATATATATATATATATATATATATATATATATATACATGCACACACACATATATATATGTATATGTATATGAATGTATGTATTAATTTGAACGTTACATTTAATGGATACTCATATATGAATAGGTGGTCCGTTTATTTTTTAAACAGTATTTTATTACGTCTCCAGGCCCGAATATTCAAGAAATCTTAACCTTTGTACCTCTTTACAGGTGAAACCATTATTTGATCCGACGGTCTTTTGAGCTCTCTGTCACGAAAACATTCATAATAAAGCAAGGTTCTATCTGCCTTTAAAGCACACTTGTTCAGGTTTCTTGCTCGAAACGTAAACAAAGCATTTTCTAAAGAATTAATGGATTTTCTTTTGTAATTCGATATATTTTTAATACATTAAATGTTAATTTTGATGGATATACGTATTTGTGTGAACGCGCTGTTTATTTTTTAAAAAAGTATTTTTATTTTGTGTACCGTCTGAAACAAAAATAAAAATACATTTAAAAAAAGAAAAAAATACTATTACTTTTCCCCCTATAATAATTAGAAGCTAGAATATGAATATGATAACAAAATCACAGACAAGAATACTAACATAATTGTTACTAGTTTTTCTTTATAAGCGATTAAAAGAATCATATTGAGGAGGACTGCACATTTACACAGCGGTGTATTATCAACTTAAATGTAGTACAAACACTTTACATATTACGTATTAATTAACTTTACATCAACTCTAGGGTAATGATCTGGAAAGGGAATGTGCAAATCTATAAGCAAGGAAAATAATAATAATAATAATGTCCCTGTGGTGCAATACAGCTTTAATGTCCTTAACTGGACCATAGCTGAAATTAAGCGAATGGATGCCAAAACGAGAAAGCTACTCACTTGCTATCGCATGCATCATCCCAAAGCTGATGTCGACCGTCTGTATGTGCCCAGATCCGAAGGAGGCAGAGGATTAGTTCAACTAGAACTGTCCTACAAAACTACAACAATTGGCCTCCAAAGATATTTGGAAACTACTGAAGACTGGATGATGGTATGCGTCAAGGAACATGAAAGTAGTAAGCGTCTCTACTCCGTAATGAAGGAAGCCAACAAATTCAAAATGGAGTTCCAAATGGGCGTAGAGATGCAACTACAGCACAATACACCGGCTGAAACTGCAAAATACCTAAAAAAGATAGCTAAGACGAATGCAACAGACCAGTTACAGAAGCGATGGCAAGATAAACCGCTTCATGGCCAATACTCTGCACGTACCAAACAAGCTGACGTAGACAAACCCGTACCCATCAGTGGCTACGTAGTGCAGGGTTGAAAGCGGAAACTGAAGGTTTTATCCTTGTTGCGCAGGACCAATGCTTGCTAACTAGGAATTATCAAGCACATATACTAAAATATTGTGTCAGCCCAAAATGCATATTCTGTGATAAATATCCAGAAACGATTGATCATCTTGTAGCAGGTTGTACGGTGTTGGCACCCACTGAATATAAAACCCGACATGACAGAGTGGGCCAATATCTGCACTGGAAAATCTGCAACTTCTACGGGAAGAAAACTGAAAGAAACTGTTATGAACACCACCCAGACCCGGTTACGGAGATAGGACCTGTTACAATTCTATGGGATTACACAATACACACTGACAGAACAATCAAGGCCAACCGGCCAGATATTGTTATTAAAGACCACAAACAAAAACGGTGCCTCCTTATTGATATGGCAGTCCCTGCTGACTGCAATGTATCGTTGAAGATATTCAAAAAGTTGTCAAAGTACAAGGTCCTTGAAATAGAAATCTCGAAAATGTGGCATATGGGAACATCAACAGTCCCTGTTGTAGTTGGAGCCCTAGGACTGGTTGGAAAAGATTGCAGTAGACTAATTGAAGGGATTCCTGGAAGTCCATGCCTCAAGGAGATACAAAAATTGTTCTGACAAGTACAGCCCACACCTTACGAAGGGCTTTATCTATGTAATTTTTTTTTCTGTAAGTGGAAAGTGTCATGATGCCATTTCTAACCTTAGGTCCCTGGGCGGGACCCGGAAAGAAATGTGTAAACGCCAGAAATCAAAGAAAATAAAAATAATGATAATAATAATAATATCATTATTATTATTATTGATGTTGCCATACCAATTGACACAAATGCAACAAGCTTTTTGAGAAAATTACAAACTACTCTGCTTTGAAAGTTAAGATGGTAATCTTGTTTGGAATGTGGGAAGGGAGTGTCACGGTGATTCTAGTGGTGATTAGCGCATTGAGATCATTTCCATTAATAATGTGTAGCTATTTGATCATCTGGTATATATCCCCCCCCCACAAAAAAAAATGGGTTCTTCTTGGCGCTGTGCATATTTTCAGGAAAGCGTTGTGTTTCTGAGCTCCTTGTTGTAACTTTACAGATTACTTACTGTACCTGGCGTATTCAAAAACTTACGCTGTATGACAAAGATAATAATAATAATCACAAACATTATGTTTAATAAAAACAAAAATAAAACGAAAAAAACAAACAAACAAAAAATAAACAGGATACAAAAATCAAAATAAAACACGTTCAGTCTTTAGGATTAAAGTACTCAATGGAGAGTTAGAGGATTTATAACAAAAATCAAAAATCAAAAAGCGTAAATTTAGAGATAGATTAAAAGATAGTCTTTGCAGTTAAAGTAAATTTATGAATTAAGTGATAATCTGATCACTTAATAAGAGAAATGCTCAAAGTGTAGAATAACAACATAACAAAAAGAAAAATGAACTGGCGTAAAAAATGATGTCTCTTTAGATATGGAATTAAAGATAACATTAATCGTTAAAAGTTCAACAAGTAATTTTATTTGATGATATATATATATAAGTATGTATGTGTGTATGTATCTATATAAAATAATGAGAAAGAAGTTATATTAAGAATCCACAGTTCTTTAGCGCTTACTTTTTTAAAAAGTGCTCGATACAGTATATAGAGCATAAATATATATATATATATATATATAAAATGCTCTATGTTGTACTGAATTCTTAATATGGCTGTTCTTTCTTTATTATTTTATATATATATATATATATATATATATATATATATATATATATATATATATATATATATATATATATATATAAAATAGGAGGCAATATATGGGGATAGCGGCTCGGATTGAGAAATAAGAGAGCCGAGTTCGAATTCCAGTCGAATCCATTACATTCGTTAGCTTGGGAAAATGTATTAAGACTCTTCTTTTCCCTCCAGCTATAGATAAATAGCAGCTCACACTGTGTTCTATAGCCTGGAATGGCTACTAGTGTAGGAAAAGAATGCAAAAACTGGGGGCCTTGGGGCATGTACTGCACCAGATCTCTGTATTCGGCTCTCCAAAAAGTGTGGTTGGTTCTGCACAAAGCCTTCAACACTATAATCAAATCATATGTGCTAGAATTCCTAGGTACTGAGCTGCTTGACACTCATATGTCGAATAAGATGGGGAGAGTCCACCTATATATATATATATATATATATATATATATATATATATATATATATATATATATATGTATAAAGACATTTTTATGTTTATACATTCTTTTTATAGATACAAATATTTAAGTAAATGCAACAACATTTACCGGCTTGAATGTCCGAGAAAACTGAAAATTTTCGGACATTCAGGCTGGTAAATATTGTTTAATACTGTTTATTATAAACAGATATTTACTTAAATATTTTTATCTATAAAAAGAATGTATTACGAATACCAGTAAATATAACCGTAGAATATTTCAATCATTTAACTTTTATGGCCAGAATCTTGAGATGAATTAAAAGAAATGTTCGGTAACCAAAATAGGAATGATCTCAAGTTAAATTTAAAAATGAATGAGTTCTGATAAAGATCATAAGAGAGGAAGAAGAACTGGAAAAATCCAATATTACATCAACTGAGAGCAGGTGATACGAACATCTAATGATTGGCTGGAAATAATTTAATATAAATAAAGCTAGCATAAAACAGCATGGACGTATTAGACATGTAATGGCACGGAAGTCAAACATACGAATTACCAATGTTGGTTAAAAACACGAAAATAAATAGACGAACTAGAAGGGATTAGTCTAAGCGATTGAAAGAGTTCAACATGGATCCGAGAAAAAACGAAGGTAAATGGTATCAGAGAAGTAATCACGTGATAAATATGGATGTAGCCAGGACACATAAAAAAGGAAGACAAGAGGGCAGATTAAACAAAGGGTTTATTTGTTTGTTTCCCAATGGATAGCGAACGCAATAGAAAAAGACCAACCAGAAGAGGGAGAGATTTATAGATGGATTCGATTGAAAGATTATGGAACAGGTATAAGCACAGTCATGGTTGTCATGGAAATCAATAGTCGAATAATGAAAAGGGGGAAATCTTTCGGTGGGATAACATTAAAAAGATGAATGACTGTGTGTGAAAGAGAGAGAGAGAGAGAGAGAGAGAGAGAGTAATAAAAGAGAAACAAAAGAGAACAATTTAAGTAAACTTTTGAGGAGAAAGAAAGAAAGAAAGAAAGAAAGAAAGAAAGAAAGAAAGAAAGAAAGAAAGAAAGCAAAAAAAAACTAGATAGAAACAAAGAAAAGTCAAAGAAATATTGGAGG